TTCCAACAGAGCTCTAATCCACATACTACTACCTGCCAGTTGAGGCCCAGAGCTACCTCTACCTGTTCCAAGAAGTAGAATATTTTTACAATTTTTTCTCTCTTCAAAAGCCTTGACCATGTAAGTCAATCATGGATTCTCACTGGTCGTATATATTTCCTTATAGATATAGCTACATTGCTTCAATAGAGATGATATAAAGGGAGGTTATTGTTATGGGTACTGGCCATTTGTATACAAACTTCTAGCTCATATGATATAATACTCTCTAAGTTATAATAATTTTTCTCTCATGTAGTAGTATTTTATGTGGTGTCCCACAACTAGTGAGTGTCCCATTACTAGGTCAAATACATTAGTTCTCAAATCGAACTGAGTTGGCCCCAATTATCTCAGTCATTGATAAAATGATCAGTTTTATCTGTGGGTTGTATCCGTAAAGGTACTTATAATTGTAACCTTCCTTGGTCGTCTGACTTCAAATCTTCGTAACTCCCTACTCAACCAACATATATCTTCCAGAAGACTTTCTGTTAATTCACAGAAAGCTATTCCACTTGATTGATAGATAATCCCTCGGTTGGCAACTTTTGGTTGCTCTAGGTAACATGGTTTCAATTACTGTTGTAGTATTTGGAAGTTATCCTCGTAACTACAATGTATTCCGAGACCCAGTTGTAACACTCCATAAAGTCCATTGGCTTCTGTGGTAGTGTTCCTCAGAGTTCTATACTCTTCTGATTATTGTAGAATAGGTGCAAAATGTATTGGCCTCTCATTGAAATCCTTTATCATTCGATACTATCTCTTCGTACAAAAATGTCCTGCTACTTATGGCCTATTCTAAAGATGTCACATCTTTAAAGCCTAGTAGCCTTCTGAGTAGTTGATGGATTTACTCTGTTCTACTTCCCAGAACTAGCCAAAGGTCTCTTCTCATATATTCCATGAACAGGATCTGGTCGGACAGATGGCAGCAACGTAAACTGTTTTATCTTTACATCTTCAATTCTGTAGCATTATAGTTACAGGATTCAACTGAGATGGATATGTATGATAACGTATGGGCCCATAAGAGAGCTGGAGGGGGGGTGTTGGAGACCAGAGATTCTGATTCCAAGTGGGGTTACCCTACTTAAGGTGGTTTCTAGGTATCAGATCCCAGTATTTCTAATAGCCTAGTCCTGATATACGGGTATATCAGGAAGGAACCCTGTAAAGGTAGCAGAAATGTAGCTGACCAGGCTATACAGTAGGGCCAGCGATAACCAAAGCGGCTCATCTTCACCAAGGCTCTTAACCCCCTGAAGGCGGCAGTCTCTAGCACTTTTCTGGAACAGCCATGTCAGGATAGTATGGTGAAAAGTCTTCAGTTCTATCTCATAGTAAGGGCAAAGAATAGAGGTCTTCTTAGGAGGTCCCTGAACTTATCTTATATAAAAACACCTTATCCAATCTTAACTCTACTGTAACTTATACCTTCACATTACCATATCCTATGACTTACAAGCATGAGTTTTGTGAGATCACTCAGCTGACTCCTATGAGTCAACTGTGCAATATACCTAAACTAGTATCCCCTCAATCTACGCTCAAGTGTATTGTGAATGTTGAAAGTCTGAGGAAGAGCAAGGAAAATCCTGTTATGATAGAAAATGCTACAGGGGTAAATATGATCATAGCATATCAGATAATCAGATCACGTACTTTGATGAGATCAGATATTACTCCTTGGCTCGACTGCTTAGTACATATATGATATGACTAATCATAAATAGCATAATAAGTCATATACACTATATGTATCACAAGTGTGAAACTCATAACTCATACATGTGAGTCATACTTAAAAGTCAAAACATCATATGGCTCACAAACATGAGTTATTCAAACAATTAACACTTATATCTCATAACTATAAATCATATGAAACCCTTATTCCTCCACTTCAATCTGCCTTGTTACAATCCGGTTTGTGATCCTAGTCTACTAACTCTCCAGATCTTAATCCTTTCAAAATAATTTAGACAGAAATGTAGAATCTCATTAAGGAGAGATTAGGAATCCTAATAATAGCTTCCGAAATTCAACAGACAGTAGAGGAAGAGTGGACGACCTATTCATGGGAGTGGATTAATCGACATAATCTTTCAATGCTAGATCCCATTGAAACTTGTGTTGAGGATGAAGGTGAAATAGGTTCACCTTTTCTCTCTCTCAGCTCTTTTTCTTACATTTTTTCTGTTTATCTACATAGGTGTATTTAAATACTATTGCACACTGCCGAGTAACTATTCCATGATTGTATTATTTTTTTATTTTTTTATTATGCTGGCTATTGTAGTTTCTTCTAATTTTCTAAAATACTTATTGTAGCTTTTTCTATCATTCTCTACTGGAATCCTCTGAAAGTTACTTCATGCAGGTCTCATGCATTCAATCTTGGACTGTATATGCAAACCCAGTCATGTTTGCAAATATCAGAAAATTATAAGTACTTTATCTTTATCATCCCTCCTAGCAAGTTCTTAGTAGTCATAAACAAAAAGAATATTATCCAGCCTTTCTAGACAATCTCCATCTACAATAAAGATTCTGGCCTAAGTCTTCTCAATACGTACTGGAGTTAGCTTCCGCCTAACACTTGACTAGGCTAAATCTGGAGGTGAAAAACACTACATCCTCACTTAAGATGTATTTCCAGACATACTAGATACAACTTCATACTCAGGATGCACAGGACACACAAAACACAGACAACCAAATATTTTTATCACAACACATAGTAGGAGTATCTGCCACAGGTCTTTTTTGTACTGATATGAATCACTCAAATAGCTAATACGATATGACTTCCAACTGCGCGTTATGTAAAAACCTTTCCTCCGCTTCGTCACAATTTGAGTTTGTGACAGTACTCACCTTTATACTTTCAATAGTATTATCAGATGCTCTTGGAGCCTATAAGCATTAAATTAGAAAACAGGCTACTGTAATTGTTAACTGTTAGGCGTATAGGAAGCGAGAGGTGTATGATGCATGTTGTGCTGAGCACGGTACTATATTATTGCCGGATAGATCTTATGGAGATGAGAACTTTTTGCTACCGCGCCCGAAATGAAATACTCTTATGATATCATACGCCCGAGTACAGGGCGCTATCCTCATGATTCTTAGGGCCGTCAAGATTTAGGATGAGCGTGAGCAAGGCTCGACACTCACGTATCATTTATCATAAGTCTCTCTCTGATAACGATAATAATAACATTATTCTAGCAATGATAATCATGACAACAATTTCGTCAACTCGTAACCAAGAAATACAAGTACTAGTACATTAATCCATTCCTCCAACCCACACACGCCCACACAACACCAACCCCAAGCATTCAAACACAAACTCTACTCAATAATCCGCCAACCCCTCCCTACTCTTCCCGCTCTCGTACCAGGTCCAATCGATGACGGCAAGATAGCCAACGACGACGACACGCATTATAGTCAATGGATCGAGCTGCTCCCCGAATCCCACCTGCGTAAGTAATCATTTCACAATAGCGTAGAAAAAGCAAGAAGAAAAACATGAATATGGGAGTTAACAACCATTCCTGATATATATATATATCTTCAACCGTTGGGATGTGTAAGAAGAATAGAAAAAAATCTCAAGTTAGTTAGGCACGCACGAGGGGAGGTCTGGTGATCTGGTCTGGTCTGGTCTGGCTTGGTGTGTTGTTTGTGGGTCGGTGAACCGGTTATATACCCCGCGGGTGACCCCCCCCACAACCGCGATAGCACAGGGGGGGAACAGATTGTTCCAAGTGAGGAAATACAGTGTCATACATCGGACAGAGGTGCCCATCGGAAAATGACGTATCTCCGATCATTGGCCTTCTGGACTGGTGAGTTTCGCCGAGGATTCGATGGTGTATCGGAGTGTGGTGGACCTAGTTGGGCTGCGATATCCGTAGAGTAACGCTTGATGGTTAGGGGGGGGGAGGTTATTTTCCCAACTCTGAGGGGGTTGTTGGAATTTGGGATGCGGTACCGGTATCCTGTGGGAGAGTTAGATACCAACGATAATTCGCAGAGGGGTGCTGTTTCCACCACACCATACAAAAGTGTTTTCACTTCTTTGGGTGAGAAGTTTAATTAATACGACAGTCCGCCCATCAAGTTAACAGCAGGGAAATGCAAGAGAAATTTGGTTGAGCATTCCCATCGAAATGTGCCCGGAGATATACGACATTGATAGGTTGTCGTCCCCCCTTTCCCCGATCACCATGGTGAAAATGGCGCTGTGTACGGAATGCGTTCCTACAAACGGTATTGGGCAAGGAGTCGCGATATTATATACCAACTAAACTATATTAAAAGGATCTGAACACTTTTCCTCCCCCGCAAGGTTTGATTATTTGCCTATCATAAGTAAATTAATGGACTTACTGTCCCCCTGGGAGGTGGCCAATCGCCACTTGAAGTAAGATAACTTGTATGTATCATACTTATTTACTTACCCAAACCGTTCGGCCGCGCGGGTACAGTACGAGTACTACACAGCATGGTCTTTTAGTGTACCTGGCCGCGCGGTATGATATCGACGGTCCCGAAATCAGCCGTTAGTCGAAGCAAGGTGTCGAACCCAATCGAGGGAATCGGCTTTTTTAGCCCAAGCGTGATGATAGGACGAAGGGGGGAAAAAGACACCATTCCAAAGGAAACAACAACAGAGAACCTATAATACCGTAGCCCAAGGCAGAATATCTCGACAAAGACCCAACCAGCACAGTAAATCATTGTAGAGTACAGTACCCTACGGACAAGCAGTAGAATAAGGAAACAGCCCCAAGAGGACACAAACGCCGCTGGGATATTCCGAGGATTCTCGAGGCCGCTTGCGTACCCCACGATTCGGTGACGCCAGAGCCGTACAACTTGTGCGTGAGATGGGCAGGCCGAGCGGACACTTCTTCGATTCAACCAATCGCTGGGAAATCCGATTGATAATCCATGATCCATGACAAACACGCCTTCTACACCATTTGTTGCATTGCATTTTACACCGGACAACTACCAATACACCCTATCATATACTAGCAACAAAGAGAGAATTCATATATAAAAGGAAGAAATAGGTATAAACGCTGGAAAAATAAAATAATAAAAAAAAGTACACTACATTATGAGAGTGCCGACCCCGCAACCCAAGCCGCAGCACAAGCCAGTAATGCGCCAACACCCATAGCATTCCTACTCCATCCTTTGTTCCCTTCAACCCTCACGGCCCCAACTTTCTTCACCGCCGGTGCCGATGTCTCCACGCTCGCTTTCGCACTAGCACATGTTCCATTCTTTCGCCCGGGCATGGTGAAGTCGACCGCCAGCTTCGACAACTGCAGCACATCCTCTTTCCACTTCTGCTCATCCTCGCCGTCAATCTCCACGTTCTGCACGTTGCCGAAGAAGTCCGTGATGAGGACATCTTTCAGATCCCGCTTGAACAGATCAGTGCGTACACCGGGGGTGGAGTGTATCTTCTCTGTCTCGTAGGAATCGAAGAGGTCCTTCATGGTGTGCTTTGAAGAGGCACTCTGAACGTTATTCTCCAGGAACTCGAGGTTGTAATAAGTATACCGATCAATGACGGCAACGCCAACGTCATTGTCGGCATGATGCGAGTACGAGCTCTCGTCCAGCTTACTCGACCCCGTGGCGAGGATATTCTTGGAGTAGAACTTGCTATACATGGTGTTCGCCTGGCAAGTATCTATCATGAACAACATCTCGTGATACCGCTTCTTCTCCCACATCTGCTCGAAGGCATCGGCGATATCGAACGCACTGATCTCCTCCGCATCCTGGAACTTTAGGAATTCGTTCCCGCCGTGGCCGGTCATGTAGATGAAGATGTTGCTCCGATCGTCCGTCAGCAGCCTCTTACTCCTGGGCGTGTCGGGCTCGACCCTATCCGTGAGCAACCGGATAAAGTTCTCGACCGTGACCTCGTACCCCCGGTAATCCACCTCGATGTTGTCCCCGTACAGGTCCAGTGCGCGGTCGGCGTTGTTGTAGACTGTGCCGGGGAAGGCGTTGCGGGGATTGCACGCGATGTCATCCGAGAGCATCAGGATGATCTGCGAGTCCGGGATCCCAAGCCTCTTCACCGTCCGGTACATTGACAGCACGTTCGCCAGGTGGCGGTAGTTGAACCAGAACCTGGACGTCGATACCAGGACCGCCCAATTGGACGTGTGCTGGGCCAGAGCTCCGCATGACAATAGCGTGAAGAGAGCGAGGGGTAACTTCATCGCAGCAGCAAAAGGTAGGCGGGTAGGTAGGTGGGGGCGTGAGGGGGGGGGTTAGTAACGACAGTGGTGTTCAAAAAAGGGTTCGTTGTTCTTCCCCTCCTTATTTCTCAACTTGGTTGATGCGGTGGCAGGTGAAAGTCAGTACCGGTATATCGTGTAAGGAGGTCAGAGCTTTCGAGCCAAGTTAGTGCATTCCCGTGCAACCTATGGGTTAGGGCTGAGTAATACATTCACACTCGTATGATTCGTACTGTCTCTTTTTTCTCCTCTTCTTCTCCCCGATGGCCCCTGAACTTGTCCTAGCCTCTCACTCGATTTTTTTATTTTGTATCATATTTTTTTTTTCTTTTCTCCTTTCCGATTGACATCCTTTCCCCACAATCACAGGGGGGGGCGGGGGCGCGAAGCCCGGGGAGGCGGGACGCGCGACAAGGAAAAGAAAAGGGAAAAACGGAAACGGAAAACCAAGGGAACAGGCGAAGGTAACAACAACCTTCTTCCCTCCGATACCGGTATTACGAATCCGTCATTATCATAATAATACTTGTATTATTATTTTATTTACCCCTCCCCCATTTTTTTTTTTTTTCTCTTCTCAACAGATTCTGAAACAAACCCCCCCCAAGGCATTCGGAGGCCTAACCCCCGGGTTTCATCAATAACTCGGGTACCGTACTCGATTATGACCCAACGCACAGAAGCATAATATGTAGCCTTATCATTCATCGCCATCACCATCACTACCACCCACCATATACAAGTACAAGTATATGATATTATACGAGTACTTGTATACTGTACGTACCGTAAATAACCGTTGTGCGGTGCTCATACTGGTATCATAACTGGTATGATATTGTAACCGTACAAGTACAAGTACTGTATCGCATATTCCCTCTTGTAAAAATAACAATAAAAATAAAAATAATATTAAAAAAGAATCACGTGGTATAAATACCTTTTGAAGGGCGAAAAATATGAACAAGTTACTCTAGTATGATAGACTACGGTACGGTAGTCGATGAACACAAAAACCAACCCTGTTTCACAACTTCCATTTCCGACATGTTGTGTGTGTGTAGCACAACACTCATCACTATCACTATGATGGAAGTATCGCACTCGAGTACCGTAATTGATTAAACCAGACCCGGAATCGTTTTTTTTTTTTTTACTTTCGGGTACTGTAGACGCTATCGCGAAAGATAGGAGGGGATGGGGGCTGCTACGTCAATTCTAGATATCTAGACTGTTTCTCTCTCTCCCTTGCGCATCGAAGTGGTAATCTATCAAAAAATTGGGGCACTTATCGTACGAGTACCCCGTTACAAGTACTCGTACTAGTAATACCTTACTACGACACCATGCCATAACATCAAGCCAATCCATGACTTCACGATAACCGCATAGCATAGCATAGCATAGCATAGCATAGCATAGCATAGCATAAACAGCTTTCCTTCTTCCGCCCCGCCCCCGCCCCCGCCCCCCATACTCTGGTCAATCAGAATTCCATGGCAATCTAAACATAGTCAATCAGTCCACCCCCGTATACGATAGTACAGTACGAGTATCATACCCGACTCTCCATCACCCCCCCCCCCCACCATACCCCATAACCTACGAGTACAAGTACTATTGGTACCACACACACACGGCATTCACGCCGGACCCATCAATGTGACTAGATTTCACAAAAAAAAACAAAAAAAAAAGATAATCCACCGTACCGGTAGTCAAGCAATCACTTCCCCCTTCTACTCGAGTACTCGAGTAGTACCGTACCGTATAACACGATATGCATCATGTGAAGAGGCAGGCAGCGGAGTGCTTTATCAATCGATCGCTCCGATACAGTAAACTTGCCTGTTTCGTTCCTCCCGCTTCGCCTGGGCATGCTTAAAGCGGTGTGGCTTCCGCCAAAGGTAAGGATATGGAAGGCGTGGTGGAGCTGGGGCTCGGCGCAGGGAAGGAAGGGTGCGAAGGGTGGAGGGAGTGAGGGGAAACAGGAAAGGAGCAGAGTTGACCTCAACTTTGGTCTTACAATTTGTACAAGGTGGATATATTATGACTAGGTGGATCGTAGAGGTGGAGAAGTTGTGATTTGGGCGACACTCCTCGAGGAAAGGGGGGGGGCTATCATACTTCACGAGTACCGGTACTGTGTCATACGTGTATGGTGCCTTTGAATATGGTACCATGGCAACTGCGAGTGCACCAAGTTTTCTCCTCTTTTCTGCTTATTATACAAGCGCAACTGTACTAACTTTCGAGTTACATGCAATGTCCTGGCAAACTTACAAGTGCTGCTGCGAGAATGCGGGTAATTTCTTGGAGGCTCAGAGTAATCCATCGTTGATCCGAGTGATTGGATATGATCAGGGTGTGTTGTGTGGAACTCAAATTAATTCAAATCTCTTCCCCACCCATTCCTACCCATCCTACCCCTCTCATTGATCCACATCGACCCCCACCACCCTCCCCCGGAGATATTATATCCTAGTACCCGTAATATGTTGAGAAAAAGGTAAATTTACACCGGAAGAAAGAAGAGAGGTATAGAGAGGCCGAGTGCAGCGGCCAATGAATGGTGAAAATGGGAGGAAAAAAAAAAAAAAAAAAACCGGGACAGAATAAAGAAACCAAGACAGAACAATATTTTCCCAAGACCGAAACCAACCTGAAATTTTGAGAATACATTAATGGGACGAGAAGGCGCTATTTCGGTAGAGAGGTCGGCAATCAGAAGACGTGTCTCAAACATACAGACACAGCAGATTCCATTTCATAAGGAGCATAGCATAACCCAAAGGAATTTTCCGAATCCACACCACTGGGTGAGATGAACTCAGTAAGTTGTATGAGAAGCAAATCCCAACAATTAATAGGTAAGTGCATAGAACATGGAACAGGAAAAAACATGCAAAAGTACAGTAAAAGGAAGAGAAATAAAAAAATGGTTGTAAAGGGCACCTTGACCAAAGAGGGCAGCCGTCTCCGCTATCGTCCCTTAGCCAAGAAAACGTGGTTCAGTTAATAATGATACCACGCAGTAAACCAAAACAACACCGCCTGAATGAACCACAGCGCAAGAAATTGGCAAAGAGAAGCAGTAGACTTCATTTAAAAGAGGCGAAAGTGGTGTCGGCTTTTTTGGTGACTGGGGTGATTGCCTCTGATGCCCCGTCAGCGGGCCATAAATGGCGTAAATAAATCAGGACGTCTGAGCCGGATGTGGTTGCATCTGAGCCGGATGTTGAGGAAGGTAACCCCCGCGCTGTGCCTGGACTTGAGCTGCAGCTTGTTGCTGTTGCATATATTGTTGATACGCATGGGCTTGTGCTTGGGTAGCGGCGTCTGGCATGTTCATATACGGGCCTGGCGGAACCCCCGGGCCCACGGGCATTCCTACTGGCGGACGTCCAGAGACCTGAGTGGGCAGTTGGGTATGTTGTGGCTCCTCGGGGGAATCAACACTATTCAGGGTATCCAGATCAGCCACCTTTGATATTTCGGGGCTCCGAGTAACAGGAAAATACATACGTCGAGTCGCCTTCAGCAACGCCATTCTCATTGGAGTGCGGCTCGGGCGCGTTCAAACATGCCTGAAAACTCGTTAGACATCAACTTCCAAAAGAAACACGAATTGAATTTATCAAAAGTTACCTGGATGAGGTTCTTTCCTTCTGCCTTGGTGACCAATGGTTGAAGTTTGGGTGTGGTGAAGGTATAAACGAGACCTGTTTCGGAGACAACGAGCAACAGAACTTGAGTGCCAGTCAATACGGAAAGTTCGTAGGCCTGGATGAATTGATAGAGAAGAGGTCAGCAAATGGGTGTTGAAGGTGTGGATTTACTGCGCGTAGAAATCGTGAATCGCGCGATTGAGGAAAAAGAAAAGACCAAAGGAAGGTTAGGGTAGGAAAAACAAAGAACAATAGCGGAATGTACCTTCTTCATAATACCCGCCTTTCGTTTCGAGAAAGTGATGTGACGTCGGGATTTGTCTTGGATAAACTTGATCTCAATCTTCCTGCGCTCACGGCCGGGCTTGTTGTCTTCATCATCATCGTCGTCATCTTGATTCGGTCGGGTTCGTTTTACTCCCCGAGAAGGATCGACTCCGGAAGCATTGGGGTTGGAATTCGGAACTCCGCCATTGCCAGCGAGACCGGAAGCGTTCGGGCCAGCGGAGTCGTCGTGGGGACCGGGGGAGGGTTGTGGGTCGTTGTCAGACATAGCCGCGAAAATTTTTTTTTTTTTTTAAAAAAATGTGTCCCTCTGACTGGATTCGGGTTTGGTGTTTTTCTTGTGTTATGGTTTGCCTGTATCTGGATATGGGAGGGGGAGGGCAGAGGGAAGGGGCGAGCGAGGTATGGCTTGCTGCGTTTCTGTGCGATTAAAATATAAGGGGAAAGGAGCGGAACGATGAATCCGGAAGGGGGATGTAGGTCGTTGTATGGGAAGGGAAAGGGGTGTTGATTTGGGGTGGTATTGGCGTTAGATGGAGGCTGGGTGGAGGGCGGGAGTTCGGATGGGGGGAGGAAAGGGAAGGGGGTTGAATGAAGGAAGGGGGTGGGCAGTGGAGAAGGGTTTTTCTTTCCTTTTCTTGGGTGTGTGTGGAAGGAAAATAAGTGGGTGGGGAAGAGGAGAAGAGGTTAGGTGAGCGAATGGGTAAGGGCAAGCAGGGATGATAGGAGGGTATGGTATAGCGTGTGGGAGGGCAATGCAAGTCTTTTAAGTGTACGTATGTATGAAAGCGACGGCAGTGTAAGTTTTTTTGAGTGGTTGACGCGCAGGCTGGACCAGTGGGGAGCCTATTGAGTTAGTTAAAAATGGGGAGAAGGAAAAGGAGACAGGGCAAACTCGAAAGAAAATAATAATCGTAATGATGCGAAAGGGAGAGAAAATGAGAGAAAAATAAAAATAAGAAAAATAGTGTATGGATGGATGCTAGCTTTACCTTACTTCTCCTCTCCTCTGTGGCGAGGTGTGCTGGAGCAGAGTACGAGTAGTAAGCGGGACAAGGGCATCGGCGAGTGAACGGGAGGGGGGGTGGATGTGTGTGTCTGAGTTGAACGAGGGAGGAATATCATAGGAATATCATATGATAGCAATAACATTTAATAATGAAAAATAAGGAAATAATAATAATAAAAATGATGGCTGGTGATGCAAGTGCTAAATGATTTGTAGAAAATGAGAATGAAGCCGAAAAGAAAATGCAGAGAAGAATTGGCAAGTATTGTGGGAGAGAAAAAGGAATCCGAGCACGAAGGGGGCACCAAATAAAAAGAATGGATTGCAATTGATTGAAAAGAGCACACAACAACAACAATGCAGCAATATGGTTCTATCGTTACAAAAAATTTCAACAAGAAAAAAAACGAGCCAGCACAGTGCTCGAGTACTGTAGATATCTATGTTGCATAATTGCAGAACGGCGGGAAGAAGATGGAGAGATCTTGGACTTTGTTTCAAAAAAACAACGACTTACCTCAAGGATGAATTATCCAGAGGAATGATAAGAGCAAGTATTGCACGGGGAAGAAAGAAAAGGGCACAACAACGTCCAACTCAATGTTTGGAGTTCCTCTTGCCCTTCTATGACCTGTTTTGCTGCTCTTCTGCTCTCGGTGGCAACGAAGCGACAAAAGGATGGAAGAGGATTAAGGCAGCACTGAAAGGAGACAAGGAGGGTGTCTGAAAAGGGTGTTGGGACTCGACTTTCCTGCGTTGGTTGAATGTGTCATCGGAAAGGGAAGGGTGGAACTTCAAATAGGGAGAGGACGGCTTTAAGCCGAAAAGAAAGCTTGGAATCGATACTGAGCAGGTTAGTGGTAACAGGGATTACTTGCCCCATTCCACGAACGGCTAGACATTTAATTCCTTGCTGGCACCTGTCCTCAGGGCTAGAACCATCTAGGGCAGGCTGTGCCCAGTGATGGCAATTGTGACAGAGTAATGCTGACGGACCCCCCAGGACGAGCATATTTCCGCATAAAGAAGAAATAGACATGCCGTCCGAATCAAAATTACAAGATAACTTATTCTAAAAAGAAAATGGAAAATAAAAATAAAATAAAAAAGAATCTCGGCACCGGCTATTAAGTCTTGATCAGGAATCACTCCAGAGGGACAAGCGGCTGTTGGTGCCCACTGCTGAAACCGGCTTCTGCGTGAAGGTGGGAGGAAAGGGAAAAAAAAAAAATCTCACCCAGCTGCCGATGAGTTGTGATTGGTCGAGGAATAAGTCTGCCCTGTTTTACACGGGCCTCTCTCGAGGGCTATCTCTTTCTCGTTCTCTGCTCTTCTTGGGGGGGGGCGTCCGGGGTTCTGGGCATGCTGAAGGGGGGGGGGAGGCTGGTTGGCTCTCCTGGCGAGCGGCGAATCTCGTGAGGAGACCGCTCTGCGGCAACCCTCGAGTGAGAAGAACAAAACCTGACTGCAGTTGACCCGCCGCTTTGAAGAGAACGACAGGGCGGTGGGAGCCGTAAAAACCCATAGTCTACCGGCAGTGTACTACGAGTAGTACTCGAGTAGTGCTCCCAAGAAGGGTCAAAAAACCCACTACATTTCGGGTTGCAGTACAGTACTGTAGTTGTGGAATCGCTGGGAACAAAAAACCTCTGATGCATCACATTAATCGTCTACCCGTGGGGGGCATTGTATCTTGACTACCGTACTCTACTGTACCGTAGTCAAACAATTGGCACGGAAATCTATTTACTCGAGTAGACTTGATAAATTGATTGCGGAGTGATAGCGATATGATACTTGTATTACGGTACAGTACCGTATCTCGATTGCGTTCGGATTTGGGGCACAAACCTGTCGCAAACAAGATCGAACCACCCTGCACTTCTGCCCTGGCCAGGCTTCACACTTTTTCTTCTGTCGGCTGTGATTTGTTAGTTTTGCTCCAAAGCTTATGGTACGGCACGCGTAGTGCACACAAGGGAATATTGTGACCTTTTTCTCTTCTGCCAGGCACGCGCTGTTTCTGGTTTCCTTTACCTGCAAGTACCGGTATCACACAAGTACGAGTAGAGTGGGGGAGAAAGCGAGGGCGAGGGGGGGAGCACCTGGGTAATATGGGTAAAATACTTGAACATCTGTTCGAGCATGTACGAGTATGAGCACGAGCACTCGAGTACTGAGTACTCGAGTACGCAGTGCGCGGTACAGTACGCATGTATGCAAGATGATAGCCGTGGGGACATTGAATGGATGGCTAGAAATGTGTACTCGAGTCTTTACAGTATCGTGACTACCGCTGCTTGATTTGACTCGTGGAGAGTAAAAACGTAAAGCTCATTGAATCTCGACTACGAAGATCATACTCTGATTGGTTCACCAAATGTCACCACCCTTTTTGATATTTTTGCCATTAGTCCTGAGGGAGGGTGGCTCCCATTCTATTCGGAGTCGAGCCACTCCCGCCCCTCCTCTGGCCCGTCAGGTTATCCCCCAACCAAGTTTCACCCATGTGAGGGTCCTGTCACACAAATAGCTTTTCCTCTTCCGACTGCTGCACCCATCGTCTGAGCCCCTTCCCCTTCAACTCAGTCTTTCAAGGGCATCCATCGTCCATCTTCGCATTCCTTTCGGTCTTCAACCGCCTGCCATTCTTTACTTTCGTTTTATTTCGTTTCTCGCCCTTTCCGCATCACCGGAATCATCCCCACATTTCTCGCGACGCAGGCCGTCTAATTTTCTGTTCGATTTTCAAGCAAATTTTCAACCTACACTCACCAGTCATTCTCTGTGGTTCAAGGGTTTCTGTCGATTTCTTCCCCTCTCTTCCGGACAGGCTCCCCCGACCGATCTCACCGAACCTTAATTTGCGGGTTTCGATAGCTCACGAAAGAAGGGGAGAGAAAAAGATCAAACTAAACGAGTCCGAAAGAAATCGCGGAAAAATGGTCGGCTCAGTAGTGGCATACTATGTTGGAACAGACATCATCTTCTTAGGAACCGGTATTCTGCTCATATCCGCTGCGGCGATATGGCAAAAGGAGTTGACGGGGGATCCAACGATGGAATCAGTGGCAAGATTTCTGCTGTTGAAGAAGGCCCCCCTTAGTGGTGAGCTGCACTTTCAACCTTTCCAAAACACTCGAGGTATACGGGTACGATGGTCCTAGGGCTTGATGGCTAACGGGTTCGCCGGCTTGGTTTCACAGCTGTAATCGCAAATGGAGTTATGGTCCTTGCCGCTTTCCTACTATCTTTACCTACTTTCGCCCTACCAACTTCGCGAGCATGGCTCAAGGCCCACGGCTGGTTGGTGATGGTGTGCGCACTCTTCACAATGGTATTGGGATTGATGGAATGGGTCACAACCCTTACTACCCGGGCGAATCTGGAGACAATTTGGGGTCAGCAGACTCCTCAGATCCAAAGTATGCTTCAACAAAAGGTTTGTTCTACCTTTCGATATCACGGCGCTTAAAATGGGTTTCATCACAGGGCGGCGCTCTCTTGAACTTTGCGTCCTGTGGTTGCCCTGCCTGATTAGGAAAGTCACTGATAATTTATCCGCTGTTATTTATAGTTCAGCTGCTGTGGATACCTGAACAGCACTTCTCCCATGTACGTCGTAGATAGCGTTTGCACGAGTGACATTGTTGCAGCATCGAAGGAAGGTTGCGTTAGCCCTTTTGCAAACTATGCCGAGAGATGGATTAACCTTCTCTTCACTGCTCTTTTTGGCATTGTTGGTATGTTTCTCAATCTTCCCCGCTTACTATTTATTTTTACAATCTATTTTCGCCAAGCGTGATGCTGATTTTTGTGTGATGAAGGGATGGATGCTGTGCTCATACTATGCGCTGCGATGCTTATCCGGTACCGCAAGGAGCAACTGCGATACAGGCTCATCGATCAGAAATGGGGTATGGGTAATATCTAAGGGATTGGCGAGGCGTGGCTTAGTGACGGCCGGAGGAGATTGTCTTTCCCTATGAGCGGTGACATTTGAAACCGGGGCTTTATATCATATGGTCAAAGCCATAGAGCCATGCTCTTGCCGTGTGCTTTAATCCACCGTTCGATGATGGCGAGACAGGGCGGCGAGTGGGCACGTGGAAGCTGTTTGTTCGGAGGGCGTATGGTCTCATTTCCTTTTTAGGCTGCATAATACCGGTACCGTGCCATGTCAGGCCAATCAGCCAGCATCCTGTGTCTGTTTCTATCTATCTATCAGCGAGCTTTTTTTTTTTCCACACGTTTTTTTGTTCTCTTTTTTGCTTGTTTGTACTATTTATTCCGTTCGATCCTCACCCTTTTTATTCTTTGAGGCTATCGTGCTTCGGTTCTTGCTGTTTGTATCATATTTTTTATCTGTAGCTTGGGCCTGCTTGCCGGCCCTTCCTTTCTTTGGTTTTTCTTTGTGGCGTTGCTCTTGTTTTGGAAGCAGTCTACTCGTACTGTATGACATACAGGACACTGGAGGGAGGAAGAGGTAGATAATTTACCATGCGGTTGAATATATCCAAATCGATGATTGTTTTTACCCCTGCGCGAGTTGCGGTTCCTCTGGGCGCTGCCCAAGACCTATTCTAGTACTTGTAGATCATGCGAGTGATCGGAATGGGACGACATGGATAGACTCGAGAAACTCAGGAATCGGCGGTTGTGTATACAAGTGCTCGGGTGTGGAGGTTAGTGGTGGGACGAACAGGAGTTTTTTGGGGGGTCCAGGCGTTCAATACCGTCGGAGATAAAGGTGGTGAATCAAGCTCTCTTTGTGGTATCGGTACTCACCCCAATTATCAAGGTGCCCAATGCCACAGTTTTATCAAGAAAGGCATACAAGTGCATGAAGATTATCAGATGAGAATAAAATAAAATAAAATAAAATAAAGTACTGCCATTTCTCGGATCATCATAACAATGTCGGCTCCTTCACAACTTCTCTTACGGTACTAAATTACCGGTTATTGGGCAATTGCTCGGTGGTTTCCGTGCTCTTGAGGGCGCGCGCGCGTGTGGTTGGGAGGGGAGTTTGTCTGCTCTCGGGACCACCGCCAGTAGGTAGGGGGGGGGGGTCACTGTTGGATGTATGATACTATACCTGGCAAGTGAGAGAGGTGGGTGGGTAAGAAGAAGAGGGTCACGGCACGATACCGGTAGTGTAAATAGAAGAAGTTTGTAGTACCGGCAAGTGTTAAAAAAAAAATTTAATTTTTTTTTTTTCGGGATATAGCTACCGTGACCTGCGGGGGAGGGAAGGGGAAGGGAAGGGAAGGGAAGCAAGTTACGTATGATGGTGTAACAAGGACAATACCGGTATTGTATGATATCTGGAGTAACAACTCTGTAACCTTTTGGGTTGATATTTCTCCTACGAGTAGGTACTTTTTTCGCTGTTATCTATCTACTACTACTATCATAGTGCTCTACTCGATGTATATATTACGAATAATATGGCAGGTATCCGGAATCGCACCAAGGTTTTGTGGTTGATATTTTTTTCTTTTCTTTTTTTTTTTTTTTTTTTTTATCCGATCGTCATCTTGGCATACCGTATCATACTCGGTACGAGTACAGTACTTGTATTCTGTGGCACCAGGGAAGGAGTCAGAAAGCTGTGTTTTGGTTCCTTGCTATTGTACTCTACTCTAATCCTTTTGACCGGAGGGGAAATTACCTTTACTTATCGTACTATCATCATACCTGTAAAATAGAGTTAGAATCGAAAAAACATTTCGTTTGCAAAAAAAACACAAAACGGACTCGGAAAAATACCCCCCCCCCTCCTTTTTTTTTTTTTTTATCGTGTGACGGGAATCAAAACGCTTTTTTTTGTTTGTCGGTTCTCGTCGCTTTGTGTTGTGCGGCTTGAAGCGGTATCGTACGGTATCATAAGTGATAAAGTGAATATCAAATTAGGACTGAGTTGGGGCTATCTTGCCCCGGTTGGCGTCAGGTTTGTACGAGTACTCGTAGATCATAAGTTGGTCATGGTATTTCTTGTTTTTGTTTTTTTTTTTCTTCGGAGAATTTTAATGGAAATAGTCTAAGTGATTCTAAAGTGCAAGTGCTAGGAGGGGGGGAGTGTCTTCGCGCAAGGCAAAGATGGGTAATATTATGGTGGTTTGAGTATGGTAAATTTATGTGAGGTTTTGGGTTGTGATGTTTGGGTCCACTGGTACCGTAAAGTTGGTGGGTTAAGTTGGGCTGAGAGCTGTTTTCTCGCTAGGCGCTGGTGGGCTACCGGTACTGCTTGGATAATTCCCTTCTTACCTGCATTTGGAAGGTACTCGAGTATTCCATGACTAGGAGTGCTGTGGTTGAGCTGATATTTCAAAATAGGATGGTTGTGGCACGGTTATTTTTTTTTCCCCCAGTGAGTATCATCCTCCTAGCGTTTATTACAGTCTGCGACACCGAGTTTGTCAGTACGTGTTTCACTCTCGTACGGACTTTCGAGCTTGGCTGCTTTACGCTTTCATGTTTTATCTCTAAACAAAGAGATCGATATTGTTATTTTGAGCAATCTGTACTCGAACTTGTACTCGAGTATACTCGTACGTCTCAACCAAGAGTTGGCACCACATTTGTCCTAGGAGGTGGCGAATGTTCTTGCTCACTGAATAGGTATAGTTTTTGATAGTGTATAACTAGTTTAAGGAATTAGCGGATTCTGCAAAATGGAATTTTTTTTTTTTTTAAATATCATACTCAGGTATTGGTGGTGAGACACTATTGCATCCATACAATCTCATTTGTGATGGCTCCTGGGAAAACAGTATCGATATTGACCAGAGGAGCTATTGTTGCCCTTCGCATATGCACAAAAATGAGTTTCCTGGAGATTGCAGGTTATCTGAAAATAGATTGAGAAATCGTTTGCAAAATCTTTATCCTTACAGAGGTATGTTACTAGAACTGGTCAGGGGATCTTAATGTTTGATATTTTGTGGGAGTCCTTACCAAATATGTGTGACTAGGAGCGCTGTGCAAATGCAGAAAAGAATATCCAAACCATGTTAGCCACAGTTGAACTCGGGGATAGGAAATAGCATCAGCCTGCAGTTCCAGAAAAATATCCTGTGGGATTACCAGAATCAAATTGAATGGGAGCTCTCGCTACCAAAGATATTGATCATTGACTGATGACATTTCCCGAGATTGCACAGGAGGCAGAGGTTGATGTTTCACGAGCAATAGCATGTAGAATGATAAACCAACATTACTAACTATTTAGCTGTAAATGCTGAGCGAAACCATATCTTGATATAGCTTATAAGCAAAAACGCTTACAGTTGGTTAATTGGGGGCTTACTCAACCGATTGAATCATTTGTCTTTAGTGTAATGTATTTGCAAGGTGCTAGTCATGTTATCAGTAAAAATACAATAGTTGGCAGGTGGCCTGCTCTATTAGAGAGGAGGCGAGAGCTGAGAATTAAAGAAGATTTCGAAGGTGTACTGAGGAACAAAGAAGTAACTGTTCAACCAAGTATATTGAAATACTGTCTGTTGAAGTCTGCCTTTTCCATTGTGGAATCAGGCGGTCTTTAAATACACAAATCTTGTTCATATCTAGCATGAACGAAACTAATCAAAGGTATCAAGCGATACTCTTTGGTAAAACAAACCAAGTATTAAAACGATACTTAAAACAAAATACAAAACAAAACTAAGTATCAGACAATACTTAAAACAAACCAAGTATCAAAGCGATACTTAAAACAAAACATAAAACAAAACTAAGTATCAGACAATACTTAAAACAAATCAAGTATCAAAGCGATACTTAAAACAAACCAAGTATTAAAGTGATACTTAAAAAAAAGACATAAAATAAAACTAATAACTGAGTACCCATACTGGTTACATTTAGTTATGACATGATTTTTGAAGTGGGAGCTCCTTAAAGACTCTCAAATATTACATGACATAAAGAAGAAGATCCATATTCCTGTACTGTACCTGAAAAAGTCAAATCGGGTTTCAGTATTATGGTATTGGGAAGTATCTCACTCAGGTTTAAAGGTCTTATATAGATCTGGTTTAGGGAAAGTGAAGAGGAATAGAGAGAAAATAACGAGGTGCTTGAACGGGAGAACCAGGAAAGGATAGAATGAAGAGAGCAGAGAATAATTAATACAATGATTCCCGGGACCAAAGAATACAACTACCTCTAGGCATTAAATCGAAATATTGCTCAGTGTAATGATCCCTCCTTGGATAGTTAGTTCTTGGCGACGGGAACAATACTTCTCTTGTTCTGTTTCTTTCCTTAATCTTAAGATAGTACTAGGACTCTGCCTAAGTTACTGATAGTACAAGACCTTTGTCTTCTATCGGGAATGCTTATCGTAAGCTTTCTCTAACTCTTCTTTGTGAAGAGCTCTCCTTGGCATAACGATAACATTGCAATAAAGATAAAAATCGTAAAGGTGTTTTATATTCGTTAAAGTAATAAGTAGGAAAAGTACTTAGAATTCAATCTAATTTTATTTATACTAGTACCGCCGACACCGGCATACGACCAGTCTCCCCCACGCCCCATAAAAACAAAATATCTAAAATACACTATCGCGGACTATTCCGTCCCACAACCACTCTTTCCAAACATAAATCCAAAAATCACTACCTAAGCGGGCTCACCGGCACTCGCAGCAACTAGTACTGTCCTGGATTAATGCGTCTTTACACCTTGCCACCCAGCCACCGTCTCATACCCTCACCCCTATCCGCCTCCAACACAATCTGTCCCACATACTTAACAAAGGAAACATACAGTCTATCCCAACATCCCTCCGTCCTTTTATAATGTAGTCCCAGGTCCAAGTACCCCTCGGCCAGAATCATCCCACAAATGAACAGCCCTCTGCTTTTAACAACCCGTTTGTCTTAGCCCACTGCAAAACCACCGACGTTCGAGTCGCGAGGTCCAGCTCGTCCCATTGCTGGTGCCGAGAATGCCAAAACCAATCGTGACATGTCCATAAATAGTGGGGCTTCCTCTCAAAGTATTTGGCGAAGGTAACTCGCTTCTGGGTGGCTGTCGCAGAAATCGCTGTTCCATAACAAGGACAGTCGCAACGTCGCTGGTGGGGCAAAAAGAACCACTTCTTCGGCATGGTTACCAAACCCGGCAGAACGCATCTACTGCCATGGTGTCTTTTCTCGCACCGGGCGCAGGTTGTAGGATCCCCTATCATTGCCAACCAGCCACTTCTCTCTACTATCAGTGTGCCGTCAAAGGGGTTATCTGCCACTACCAACTCCCCATCCACCATTCCAACATGCCGGGGAATCCCTAGGCCTAACCACCTGTGAGTTATCCACCAGGACCTCCACCGCAATATCGCCGAATCCTTGTATAAGACCTCATCAGCAGGTCGTCTCATAGCATAATGGGGGAACTCAGTCCAGTGGTATCTGTCATTTTTCCCTTCACAGCTGTCATGCCCGACCAAGCCCGTCCCGCTGTGAATTCTCAGTAAGATGTAGGAATCCATGCGGGTAAGGCCATGAAAATGCCGAGGTACTCTAGGTTCACGAG